ATATATATATATGTACGTATTACACATTACGTAAGAGAATTTTCTTTCTTGAACACAGCAGATTAAGTTATATAGAGAAAAGTATTCAAATTTTTTTTTTTTTGGTCATATTTGTCTGTAATTTCTTATGTAGTCTAGAATTATATTTCATTAATTTCAACAAGAATTTGTTTTAAAAAATTTGACATATTTGAAAATAGTATTGACCTTGATTAAATCAATAATTCTTTTCTTTTGTCATTCGACTAAACATCAATAAAACGTTATTTTCTTTTGTTTGTTATTGAAAATAAAAAAAGAAAAAAAAAAAAACTGCAATAGAGTGCATGTGTACAAGAAAAAGAATGCATATGTGTGATTCTAAAGAAGAATAATACCGAATAGAAAAGAAGACGAAATAAAAAAAAAAAAAAAGAAAGAAGAAAATTATATATAGTCCTTGATTCATTCTATGAAAAAAAAAATCGATTGATATCACCGATTAATTTCTCTATTATGAAAGACGTTTGTACTAAAAATATAAAAATAAAAGATTATTTCGTTGATTTTTTTTTTTTTAAATTAACATAAATTTACTGTTGTTCACGCAGTAATTAATCCACGAGGATGAGAAAATGTAACAGAAGTCACTGCACTTTTTTCTGGTGCATTTATTGTAAATGTACGTCTAATACCCATAACTTTATCAGAATCAATAAATAATGAATTATTTTTAATTGCTAAATCTTGTTCTAATGTTGATTTTGTACGTAATAAATGTTGTACAGCATTTTCTTCTTGTCGTAATTTACCATGAAGATCAGCAATACCTGCATGTAAATCATGTACTTCTTGAACTAATCTAAATAAAAAATAATTTTTTTTTGTTAAATATATATATATATATATTAAAATAAATAATAATTTAATATAACCTATGCATAGCAGGATCTCGACATGCTTCAACATTTGGTCGTCTTGTACGTGTTTCAAGACGTGTTTGAGCAACTTGTAAAAATGCTTCTTTATCGGCAATTGTTTTTTTTAAAAATTCAATATTTTGTTCAACATCAAAGATTTCTTGAAGAATCTATTATGAAATAAATAAAAGCTTTTTTATTTTTTTGTATTTTGTTTTTTTTTTTCAATTAAACCTTTTCAAGATGAGCTTGAATTTTATTTTTAGCTACTTGTCCTTCTTGTACACGATTTTCAAGTGATACATTAACATGATTCCATTGTGACCACATATCATTATTACTTTGTGCCATAAGTTGATTACTAGCATTAAGTAATTCATCGGATTGAGATATTTCACTAAGAGCTCGACGAATATTCTCTTCTGTATATCGTGTCCATGATTCAGGTACTGATACACTAAAAATTTATAGTATATATGAAATTTACTCAAAATATTTAATGTATTAAATTGAGAGAGATCCTAACTAATGCATACTGTTAGATAGCGTAAAAAAGTTAGCAACAGCAGCTACATCGAATCTTACATTTTAATCTTGCACAAAGATGATGCTAACAGTTTTTTGTATTAATATAAATTCTAGTCCTACAAGATGCTAATCTAGTCTTTTCTTCTTAAGAAAATAAAATATTATTCGATTTATGTTTCTAATAGACAAGAAGAAGAATGAAATGATATATTTCAAAAAAACAAAAACCTCTATTCGGATTAGAATTATTCTCTCTGCATTTTTATGTGAAAAAATTCTTGTAATAAAATAAAAATAAAATTATAATGTTTGACAACATATGAGAAAGATCGATCACTATAATAGAAATATTGATTGTAGTTTTTCAAAATGAATTATTTCTACTATGATAATTATGACTTATAAAAAGGCTGATAATAATCCCTAATTTTTGTTTTAAGAAAATAAAGACTTAGAACTATCAATACTAAAGAATTAATTTATGATAAACATACGTATTATCAACGGTTTCAATGCCTTCATAAAAATTAATTCCACGTGATGTTGTTTTAATATTATGAGCAGCTGAATCAAGTACTCGAGCACGAAATTTATCTTGTGAATCACGTTCTAATTCATGTAATGCAGCACGATTAAGACTAAAATATAAAATAATATTAAGTATTATTATTATTATTAATAAAATTTCTTACGCATTTTGTGTATTAAGACGTTCAAGCATTTGTCGAAGTTTTTGTTGACATAATTTAATTGTATCAACTTCCTAGATAAAAAAAAAAAAATTTCTTTTTTTCTCTTATTTATATTAATAAAAGAAATTTACTCGAATAAGTTCTCGTTCAACATTATCATGTACAAGATCAATACCTACAAAAAAAATTTGATTTGAAACAAGAAAAAGAATTTTTTTGTAAAAAACCTTGTCGTTTTTCTCGTTCATATAAGTTTTCTTGTGCAATACGTAATGGTTTTTCAGATTCCGATAATAATCTTTCAACTTCACGTCTTTTTGATTCAACATCATCAATTTTATGTTTCATTTTATCTTTTGTTTTTTCTAATTCACCTTTCCAATATTCAATATCATTTATACGTTCACCTAAACGTTTTGATGATTCAGCATTATTTTTAAATGATTGTTCATCTTTTTCACGTGCTAAACGTATGGCATCAGAACGTAAACGTTCAGCTGCAGCACGAATTTTATCCGAAGCTAAATAATTTGTCATTTGAGCATTATACCAATCTTTTGGTGTATAACGTGTATAAAGTGCTTGACGTGCTGATGGAAATATTGGTGGTACTTTAACATTATCAATATTATTAAGATAATTTGATGAACTCATTGGTTGCATTGTAGATGAAGTTAATGATTGTGTTGGTTCAACACGAGCTGATCGATAAAATGTTGATGGACGCCATGGAAGAGAAAGTGATCGAGTTAATAAACCAGAATAAGGTGGAGCCGATGATGTTCGATAATCGAATGTGCCTATGGATGGTAAAAGATTACCTTGTTGAGGACGTTGGCCCATATGTGTATATTGAGCCGTTGCAGTAGATCCCATGTAGTCCATTTTTATTAGTACACCGGTTGATCAATAGGCTAAGAAGAAAAAGAATTCAAGAAATTTTTTTATTTTTATGACATCAAAAAATAGTCTATATATTTTTACCTATGCGTGTGTTGGACACTATATGCGTTCGTTCGATGCACGCACACACACACGTACACACTATCGAGTGAAGTGAATTTGAGTGACAAAAAAGAAATCTTAGACAAGGTGTAAAGAATTTCTCTCAGTCGCTCTTGGTTGCTCTCTCTCTCTCTCTCTTTTTTTTTTATTGTTGTTGTAATGTTACCTGTGAGCATGTATGCATTTGCGTTGTCAACTGATTTTTAACGATGTCCGATGACGATGGCTGATTTTGTTGTTGTTGTTGATCCTGGTTGTCAGAAGAAACGCATTTTTTGTATATACTACTTTCTTTTTTTTTTTACTTCTTCTTTTTCTATTATTGAAATATAAAAACTTCAGGATTGTATTGTTCTTTCATTGGCAATGAACATGAGTAACTTATTTGAATATTTTTTTTTTTCAATTATAAAAAAAAAAGAAAAATTCTTTTCCGGTTTAATTTTGAGTCTACATTAAAAACATAGGCTTAAGAAAAACTTTCTGATTTAATTATGATTCGTTTTCTATTCTTTTTTCTGAATATTAACAAAACAAGTTTTTTTCTTTTTTTTCTTTCTTCTTCTTCTTCTTCTTTTTTAAAACATTAAAAAGCAACACTTACATGAACAAGTAACTCACTTGAAACGATGACAACGAGAAAGTAGAGTGGTTTGATGCTGCCGGTGAAACATAGGAACAAATTTATATCGAATTCAATGGAAAAAATATTTTTTTGAATGTATAAAATATTGAAAAAGTTTCCATTTGCAAAAAAAAATAGTAGAAGTAAAAAACATACATTAAAAATATTACTGAGAAATACACTAGAGTACTTCATTTCTAATTATTAAAAATTTAACGAAAAAAAAAAAATAAACTATTTTCTTTTTAAATGAAATAAATTCAGTAAAAAAAAGAAAAAACATGTTTCGATAGTTAAATTTTTTAAAGGTTTCCTCGTATAAGATCAAAATTTTTGTTTTTCATTTTGATAAATATTGATTATTAAATTTAAAATTCTAAGCAAATTAGATAACTTTTAAATAATTAATTCATATGAAATTAGAATATTATCAAATGAAAATAATGATTGACGAAAAAAACTTTAAACTTGTTGTTTTCCATGTATAGTTTCTTTTCTAGATTAGTTTATGTTTTTAAATAAATTAACAAATAATAAACATATATGAAATATCTTTAGTTAATATTTTCTCTAAGTATTAAAAAATTTTATTTCAATTATTTCGATTGATTCAAAAGAAACTTCTTTTTTTTTTTTTTTCTTTTAGTTACATTAATTTTTATTCTAATAATAGAAGAGTAAAGTCTAAAATAAATAGATGCATATTGTATGTTATGAAAGAACTAACATAGTTTGTTGTTTTTATTTTACTTTTACGAAATCAGTTTCATCCAATGATTTTTTCGAATACTTCCAAGCATCGAAAGAATCACTTGAGCCTGATTATATTCATTTCCGAGTCATACGAATCACTTCAACATCCACTTGCAATCGGCCTTCGATTAACATTTTTGCGTATACCAAATAAAAGCAAATTCTTCTTCTTCTTCTTCTTTAACAATATATGTTATATGTAGAATTTTTTCGTTTTTTTTTTTTCATAAAAACATCTCCGAATCACAATCATGTACATGTTACACAAGAAAAAAAAAAAGGAAAAAAACGCGAATAAAAGAAGAAAAAAATCGAGTGACATGAAGTACTCATTGGAAATAAGAATAATTTTTTTTTAACTAGACAAACTAAATATGCCTGATGATACAAAACAAAAAAAAAATTTTATAGAACTTAAAAAGAAAGAAAGAAAGATAAATATGTGAATGACACGATGAAGGAAAAAGAAACAGATGTATACAAATACACACTCAATAATCACCGGCGTTGTTTTTCTATCGCCGCTGTTGTTACATCTTTATACCAGCCGGCAACATCAACTGGTTGTTCACATGATTGTATAAAAAATGGTTGAAGCATTAATTCACCATATTTAGGTCTTTGTTTATAATTTTTAATTAAACTTAAAATAAAAAAAAAACATATATTAAATTTAAGAAATTATATTCATTTTACCACATATTAACAAAAGATCGGAAATTATCAGAAAATGATAAATGAGCAGGTAATTGAGGAGAATCTTCAGTTACAATACGTGACATAACATCAAAGTCAGATCGACAATTTGAATATGGATAAGCATTCGTTGCAAGTTCAATCTAAAAATATTCATAATCAATAGATTAGAAAAAATATTTTCAAACGAATAAAAAACAAAAATGATTATGAAGTATTCTTAGAAGACCAAAAAAAACGTCGAGCATCACCTACGCTCACGAAAGTACTATCCTTTGAAAAATCAAAGCATGAAATTTCGATATAAAACTTTGCTTATAGATGGAAATAATAATTTTTAAAAGATCCTGAAGATATCCTTTAATATAGACGTGACAGAAAAATTATGTTTATTAAAAAAATTTATTAATTAAATGAAGAAAAAATTCTTTGGGCTAAAACTTTCAGGATATTCTTACAATGTAGGTGTTTGTACTGTCCGTTGAAAAAGTGGCACATATTCGGGTCAAATGAAAGCTCTCACCACCAAACTAACAAGGTTATAATATTAGCTGCTATTGGCTTACCTAGAGAGAGATATTTAACTTTTAAATTTAGGTATAATAATGAATGAGGAAAGGCTTTCTCTACTATCATAAAGACAAAATATAGTGTTGTTTGGACCGATTATAGGGTTTGTAGGGTCCCTCTTTCATGTGACCCGAACAACACTATGTTTTGTTCTTGTAATAGCGGAGTGAATTTTTCTTGTGGTTGATAGAAAAAGTTGTTTCCGTGAGCTACAACAAAAATTCACTCTACTATTATAAGGACAGAACATGGTGTTGTTCGGGCCATATGAAAGAGGGTCCCTACAAACCCCCTAATCGCCCCGAACAACACTATGTTTTGTCCTTATAATAGTAGAGAAAGTCTTTCCTCATTCATTATTATACCTAAATTTAAAAGTTAAATATCTCTTTCTAGGCAAGCCAATAGCAGCTAATATTTTAACCTTGTTAGTTTGGCGGTGAGAACTTTCATTTGACCCGAATATGTGCCACTTTTTCAACGGACAGTACAAACACCTCCATTGTAAGAGTCAACATACGTATCTATAAGCAAAGTTTTTGTGATTTAGTTTTTTGAAAATTGTGTATAAATGAATTGAATATTTTTTTTTTAGCCTTATCGATAGTTCCTTCTGAATCGAATATAAGCTCAAACGGTTAGTGATACTTGAAATAACTCTTTCATCAAGTGAAATATCGAAATTTTTACTATAATTCAAAGTAAAAATTTAATATCTTACACTTAAACAAAAATAATCTTCACATAGAACAGAAAATATAACATCTTACAAGTGTAATTCCTAAGCTCCAAATATCAGCTCTTATATCATAATCAGGTCGTGTTGGATCCGATGGTTCAATACGTTCAGGTGACATATAAGCTGCACAACCAGCATTTCTTGATTTTGCCATTGATTCAATAAGTACACCACTAATACCAAAATCACAAAGTTTAATTGCTCCATATTCATCAATTAAAATATTCGATGGTTTAACATCTTAAATAAAAAGAAAAAATATCAAAAAAAAAAAAATTTCTTTAAACAAACCTCGATGAATAATTCCATGTGTTTCTTTCAAATAATTTAATGCAGTTACTGTCTATAAAAAAAAAAATCCAATATAAAAATCTAAATATTTAAAAATTTTTCCAACATACAGCAAATGTTAATTTGCCTAAAATAGATTCTGGCATAGGTTGTTGAATAAGTTTAAGAAGTTTATCAAAACATGATGCCATTAATTCCATACATATCCAAACATCCGTCTAAATAATAAATCAAATATATATAGTCAATGATTAATCATATTATAAAATTCATATAAAACATATAATAATATGTTATAGAAACAAAACAAAAAAATGACTATTATATCTTAGTTAATCATTTATAGACAAACTAAGAGCAATATATATTTTGTTCGACATAATAGATATGTAAACAAATATAATAATAATAATAAAAACAACAAAATTACAAATTGACGATACGGAAGTAAATATTTCTTCTGCATGAGATATATCTTATTTAAATTTTTTATGCTCGTGCAGATTTATTTTCTTTTTTTTTGTATGGATTACAAATGTTTTTTTTTTTTTTTATATTCTCTAATGAATTCTATTCTCTATAGTATTCTTCTAATAAAGAAATGTATGTCAATATGATAGTTAAATTCTTCTTTTCATCTACACTTGTAATATGAGTTTATAAAAAAACAATCAACTCATGAAAATATAATAGTATCATTTTTTTTTTACAAAGACTCGTTCTTTTTATTTAACTAAGCGGCAAGAGAACGAATTATTTTAGATTTTTTTGTTTTTTTCTCTACTCTATGAACTTTACTAATAAGGAAAAAAAAACATGAGCTTAAATGAAGGGTATTATGTACTGATATTCTATCATGAAGTAATCCATATGATCAATTTACTAAATCAGTCTGTTCGTTTTGTTTTTTTGCGTAGATCATTTATGATTGACTCGTTAACCTCTATTATAGGAAGTAGTTATAATCCTTATGTAGTACGTCTTGTTTCAATAGGTAGTTTTCTTGTTGTGGCATCCGTTTCATCTTATTCTATTTGGAAATTTTTTCCGTAGTATCTATTCATAGAACAATATATATTATGATGTCTACTATGAAAAGTTTTCTCAATTTATCCATGTAATGTAATAGATATTAAGTTTTTCGTATAGAAAATTGAGTTTTTAACTTTTAAAAAAGAATCATATTTTTCTCAATAACATTACTATTCGATGAAGAATTTTATTCTTTAGGCATTTTTGATACTCTTGTATGCAATAAACAAACATTGTGCAACAGTTGCTTTTGCAGTATATAGTTTAAAGAAAACCGATTTCATTATAATAATATTAAATAATGATAAAACCTTTAATCAAAAGTTTCATGTATTGAAAAGCTAGAAAATTCAAGCGTTATCTTTTCAGTAAAAAAAAAAAAGAAGGAAATATTTTCATCAAGGAAAATTTTTGACAATATTAAATATGTAATTATTTATCGACCATCTGTTATTTTCAAATGTAAAAGAAAAACAACAAGGTAAAATTTTTACTTACAGAATTAATAAAATAACCAACACATCTAACAATATATGGAAAATTATAACTTTTAATAATAACATCTAAATCCATAATAATTCTTCTATTTTCTTCATCAGATGCAGTTCGATGCATAATTTTAACAGCTAATTCAGTTTTACTTGGTATATGTTCCATTTTATAAACTTGTCCACATGAACCATAACCAAGTATGGATATATTTTTAAGTTCTTTACTATCGACACGTTTTTGCTAAAAATAAAAAAAATAAAATAAAATTATTTCTTAGTTTGTTTGTTTTTTTTATAATTTAATTTTAAATAACATTCTTCTACCTCGCCATTAATATGTAATAAACCTGAATTTTTGTGCACCTCTTGATATTTAGCTTGTGTATATTCACTAAAATAAAAATTAATTATTTAAAATTAAGGTTTTTTGTTTTTCTTTTTAGTTTATCTACCTGGTATTATTAGTAGATGATTGAATTGGTGAAAGTGGTAATTGAAAGACACCTTTACGTATAGGTGGTGCTGAACTTGCACGTGATGGTGATGAAGCATTTAGATTAGCTATATATATATATATATATGTAATAACAAGAAAATTCAATATGAATTTTTTTTTTCTAACTTAGTATTGGTCGTGTTTGTGCATTTGTAGTTCGACTTGTCGTTCGATTTGTTGTTGTTGCTGCTGTTGTTGTTGTTGGAGAATCAAGTGGACCAATTTGACGTATAATTTTTTCTTCAAGTGCTTTCAAACGAGATGACATAGCCGGAATGCCTAAATAACCACCATCGGACGATGATGAAGGTGGTGGAGGTGGCATTTGCATTTTATATCACTCAAATTACACTTTCAGTCTCATGCCAATATGTGACACGAGAGCAACAGAACATAAGAAAAAAAAAAGAAGAAATATTCAATCAAGCGCTATGAGTTATAAAATTTGATAAAAAAGATTGTAGCGCTAACGAATCGCTTCTAGAGGGGAAAATGATTTATTTTCATTCGTTAGAAATATGCATATATGTATCACGTGAACATCGCAATTTTTAAGTTTCAAAAAAAAATTAAAAAAAAATAGAAATTTTTGTTCAATATTTTGTTTTGTTAATTTTTTTATCAATAAATTCTAAATAATGTAAATGTCTTTCATTTTTTTGTTTTCTTTTATTCTACATTAATTGAAAAAAAAATATTGTTTTATTCTGAATAAAATCAAACAATATCAAAATGATTGTTAGTAAAAAAAAAAAAAACCTCATTTTCTTTTGAACATATACTGATGGCAGTATCAATAGTACACTATGTATATGTTTCATATAGTTTTGAATAACAAAAAAAAGAAAAGAAAAAAAGGAAGTCTGAAAGAACACATGAAATTTGATATATAAATATCAATGTATTGTTCTGTTAACATTTTAGTATTATATTATTTTGTTATCAACAATCAAGTCAAATCTGATAATATTCGAGTTTTATTTTGTATATCATTTAGGTAGTGTTACAAGATAGATTATTTGAGATAAAAAGAAAAACAACTAAGAATCTGTTATCAATGATTATTATCGTAGCATTTGTCGTGCTTCGTTTTCTTCAATAAACAAATGTGTGTAGTTCTATTTGAAGAAATACGAAAATATACTATTTCATCATTTTAATTTCGTACTAATCTATTCAAAATCATAGGTGGAAAAAAAGAAATTTTTTTGTATAAATACTAATTGATAAAAGAATGTAAACTATTACTATAAATAACATGGTTGACTTTTTTTTTTCTTTTGCGCAATTTCAATTTTGTTCTAATAATAAAGCATGAAAGGAAGAGAAGAAAAAAAAATAGTGCCAATATGGTATGATGACGAGGTTCTCATAAGTTTTCTTTGTTCGTTTTTTGTGCAAAATATTCTATATAAAAGATAAATGATTTTACATATAGATATTCGATAATTTTTCATAGAAAATAGATCTAGATTTTAATTGAGAATGATTATACAAATATTTCTATAGAAAAATGTATATAGATTATTATTCGTCTTCTTCTTTGTTTTTTCATATCTATGTTTATTTTATTATAGATTATATATTATATTCTTAACCTCTTCGGTTTTTTTTTTTGGTATTTTAGGCATTATCATAAATCTATTCAAATATGTCCCTTAATTGCGTCGTTTTTGAACCAGGTACTATGTCAGTAAGTTTTCTATGAATTTTTTTTTTGTTTATAATATAATTATAATAATATTTAAAAAAAAAAAGGATTTTCGTTCCAAACGTGCTCGACATGATAGTTATCATCGAATAAGTAAGTTATAAAAGAAATTTATTTTATTTATTTATATGAAATTTTAATTATTTAGATAATGAAGAAATTTATCAATCATTTTTTATAACTCATACATGTTATGATTGTATGCCTAAAAGTGGCAAAGTTTTATTACTTGATGCACGTTTATCAATTCGGAAAGCTTTTTTTGCACTTGTATTCAATAATGTTCGAGCTGCACTTGTATGGAATGCGGCAACATCATCAACTATTGGTCTTATTACAATTAGTGATTTTATTAATATGCTTATTGCTGCTTATGATGCTAAATGGGTAAAAAATTTATATAGTGTATATATAACAAAAACAAAAAAAAAAAAAGAAATTGAATTTCATAATAAATAATTAATGTTTACAATTGAAAGTTATATAGAGTTTTTCATGAATTCTGCAGATTAGAAAAAAAAATGGAGCTATTAAGTAACAGAATGGTTATAAGAGTCTTTCTTATTTGTGTAAAGAGCACTTATAGATATCCAAAATCATTGAAAATTATTTGCTTCTATTAATTTAATTACTTGAGCTTTTATCTAAGAGTAACAATGCAATGAATGAACGCTTTTTGTTTTTTTTTCTCATAGGCTTTTCAATCTTGGTTAGTGATGTAATCCAATAGTGAGTCACACCACGATTGATCTATTGGATTATGTCGTCTTCAAGATGTCAATTTTTCTTTTTTTGTAAAAACTAGAAATATTGATCTTACAAAAGAAAGAATTCTAAAATTGATCTATTTTTTTCAGTTCAAACATAAAACAAGAGTGTGATGAGTTGGAATATTGATTCAATGAAATCACAGTCTAAAAGTAACAGCGAGTTAAGATTTAATTACAACAAAACTATCATTACGATTGCCTGAAGTATATCGCATTGTTGGCGAAAATGGAAGAGGAACAATTAGTCTAAATGTCATTTAAATAATCATCTAATATTCTTATTTATAATTTATTCGTGTTTGTATTTAATTAATTTGAATTTTCTACGAACAGACTTTTTTTTTAATTAACTTAGGAAGTAAATAATTTTGATCCTTTTCATATCTATTATAAATTGTATCGATAACTATAATATACTAGAAAGTAGGAAAAATATTCTAACGTAATAATTCAAACTATAATAATGTTTAAGTTCAGTAAGTTTTCGAATTATGATGACATGCAAAATAAATTGTTATACTGGTTGATTAAGTTTAAAGACATCTGTCATTTACAAAGAAAGTTCTTCAACCGATAAATTGCTTTTGAGATCGAGATTATGTTTTTACTACCATAGTATTCATTAAAAAAAATAATATTGTAAAAGTGCAGTATTTTCACGGCAATTAGCTAAGGATCACGAACTCTTTTTAAATCTCATTTCAATCTACATAATGTTGAGTGAAAAATGAATCGTCGTTTGGGAGATAACGAACTGCAGGATCTGAATCCGAGTTCGAAACAATATGAATCTTCAGCTCTCTTTAATTAAAGAATTTTCTTTAATACGTAAATATTTGATCGATTAATCTTAAATTCTTACTATTTATTATTGAAAAGAGATAAATTTGTTTATTTTTATTTTAGAATAGTCTTGATACACTTGAAACTTCATCAATATTTGAATGGAAACATAATTTACATCAACAAAATGGATCTAATAATCAATCTATTGATTCTAATATATGTCAACTTAGTCCACAAGATAGGTAAATAAAAATTTTATGATTCATTTTTTTTTTTTTTTGTTATTCTAGAAAAGAAAAAAAAAGTATTATCTTTTATTTAGTTTATATACAGCTACTTTGACATTAATTGATCGTAAAATACATCGTATACCTGTCATTGATCCTATATCACATGACTTTTTATTTTTAATTACTCATAAACGTATATTAAAATTTTTATATTTATACGTATGTTAAAAAAATTTTTTTTTTTTTTCTTATGTATTATTTTTGATATATTTTATTTCAATTAGATCTATGATTTGCCTCAACCACATTTTATTCATCAAACATTAGATGAACTTAAAATTGGTACTTATGATAATATAGTAATGGTATGTATATTTATGTTAGTATTATAGTGGGATCTAATATACATCTCATTCATTTTATTTTTTATAATCTTTTATTAGCATACTTCGTTTATATACTATAACTAGAACAGTTTTAAGATATGTACTACTATTAAATTTTTCTGTTAAAAAAGGAATGCAATATTGATAATAATAGTACTGAGAAGTGTCTGTTATTGGTAATTAAAATATATAAATGAAATTTTGAAATAAATCTAAAAATGAATGAATAAATAAAATATGAAAAAAAGTAAAAGACATAAAAGTATACAATAAAACAAAATAAGATAACATTCTGTTGTCATGAATATGAATATAAGTGACAAGGAAACAATGTTAATAATAAAGCCTTATATAAATAGAAACTATGAACTAATCTATGTTAATAGAAATATAAAAATAGCAAATAAGCAAGAAAATCTGCTTAAAAAAAGAACTTCATAAACTATTAATAACTGTTCCAGTTCTTATTGAGCTTCGGTAGGACTAAAAAAAAAGGATCATGTTATCCACGGATTTCTAAAGATTAGTTATGATTGTTTTATTGACTTTTCTACCTACTTTCAGGTATATTATTAGAAAATCAAATAACAGAATTTTGTCCATAGATGAATTTATTCGAATTGAATCAAAACAAACTTTTGAGTAACAAAAAAAAAAAATTAACCGAATAAGAATTCAAACCTTAAGATATATGAACAGAGAAGTCATCCAGTATTATTAATTAAATTGTCAAAAGTTTTAGAACAGTGATTATCAATATAAATCTATCCGTTGAAAAAATTAATTCATATTAAAAAGTTAAAAGTGAAGACAAATATCACTAGAGATATACATGTCTCAAATAGATTTGTTGAGTAATTATTTGATGTAAATGAGTCTGTTAATAAATTCTAAAAGAATAGATCTTGATAAAACGCAATATATTTATTTCATATGTTTCACCAAAAATAAATGAAGTGTGCTAATAAAAAAAAACACAAAGAAAAAAAAATTAATTCATATCTATTGTATTATTGTTTATTCGTTTATAAATTGCAATATGAAAAAGATTACGTATAAGTAGAATAGATAAATCATTTGTTGCAAAACCAAGATATTCAGGTTCAATATCTAATATTATTTCATTTATTAATTCTAATTTATTATTATTAATATTATAAAGAGATAAAATTTTGCTTTTTTGAAATATAATTATATATTGTTCTTGTTGATTTGATATTGATGAATAATCATATGGAATTAAAAAAATATGTAATGGACAATATAATGTATTTAATAAAAGACGATGTTGTAAATTCATATCAAATGAACGTATATGAAATTCATAAAATTGATTAGATGAAATATTATCTTAAAATAATTAACAAAAAAAAAAAAAGAAAATATTTGTTATCAAATAATTAAAATTTAAACTTACTTGATTCATATGTAACAATAAAAAGAAATATATTTTTACCAACAATAAAATCATTAATAGTTTTTAATTGATTATTTAAATTATTTATATTATTATCAATGTTTTTTAGTAAATCATTTTTATTATTATCAATTTTTGGATAATTCCATTGTTTTATGATATTGAAATTTTCACTAAGATCAATTTCAATTAATATATATTGAGAAAATTTATTAATAAGAAAATAAATTAAATTTGATGATATTGGATGAAAAGTAAATTTTTGAAGAATACCTGAAAAATTTTCATGATGTATATCGTAATATTCAGTAATACAATGATTTTTATCTGTCTTTGATATTTGTAATGTAAATAATTTCGAACTAGTTGCAATTAAAAATCTTTGTAAATATGAACAATATTCTATATGAATAATTTTTTCTCGAAATTGTTTACATGGTATGCGTAATTTAAGACATAAATGTTTATTATTTGTTTGTTCAAGATAAGTTTGTAAATCAAATATATGAAGATATGATGATGATGATGTATAATGATCATAATAAACAAGTAATTGATCATGTACTGCAAATAAAGATGTTATATTTGATTTTATTGGTAATGTTGAAAAAAGTTGATAAGATGATAAATTAAAATAATTTTTATTATTCATTAATAATATTGAATTATGTATATCATTTAAATGATTAATTTTTAATTCACAATATTGATTAAAATCAATTTGTTTTGGATGAATAATTTGTATTGATGAATGAATATTATTAAGATGTTCAAGTAATTGTAAATTATGTTCTTGATTATCATGATTAATATAATTTGATAAACAATTTGCATATAATATATCTAAATAATGTATTTGTTGACGATTAATTTCTAAATATTTTTCTTTAATTTCATCAAGTTTTTTTTGAACATATTTATTTATTTTATTTATTATTTCTTGTTGCCATTTTAATAATTGATTAAATAAATTAGATAATTCATTATTATCATCATCAGCATTTAAATTTGTTAAATATTGTTTTCGTAAATTAAGAATTTTATGTAATACATCACTAATTGACATTTTAGTTTCGAAGTAAGTTCAACTATATGTAAATGTTTGTATGCAATTCAAAAAAAAAATCGTAATGATATGTGTCAACGACGAAATTATGTAAAATAGGAAGAGTATTCTCTATGATTGTTTTTTTTAATTTTTCTCGAATATCTATGCATGATTTTGTTTCTTAAATGGTGTGCATGACATTTATATCTTTATAAATCTAAATGGGAATAAATGAGTCATTGTGATGAATAAAAATACATGACTATCGGCATGTGTATGTTTTTTATGTACTGAATGACAATAATTGCGTTGAAATTTTTATTCTCATTGTCAATAAAAACAATTGTATTTTATAAGATTATTTTTCTACTTTGAATATTTTTAGATCGAAAATATCCGTTCGCATAAACAAAAAAAAATTCTAAAATTTCTCTACTTAGAAACATAAATAACTATTTTCAATTATATGTTTGTTTGTTTGTTTGTTTTTTCCTCAATTACGAAGAAATAGTATAATTAATATATTGATAATGTTAAATTATCATAGCATAGAACGATCAAATAAAGATATAATTAATATCATACATTAATTTTTGATTTTGATTCATCTATTTTGTTTTGAATAACATTTGATTAGCAAGTTTTATTCTAATTTTGCCATTGAAAAATTATCTTTCACATATTCTTTTCTTTTGTTATAAAGTACTAGAAAATGTCGTCTCAATAGAACATAATTTTTTTATCTGTCATTGAAATATGAAAAGAATATTAAATTTTAATCAATTATCTAATTTTGTTATGATAAAAAGTCATGCATATATAATTTTATTTTTAATAATTTTCTCTAGTAAAAAATTTTGTTAGATTTTGTCACTAATCTTGAACTAGGATGTTATATTGGCTATAATCCTTTAGAAATATATGTAATGCTCATAAATATTGTTATCTCTAAGATAATTTTCTGTGAATTTTGGTTTTAAATTCAATTCCATACACTTATACGTATTCTTCAATTTTCTTTAAACAATAGTTTTCCTCGTTGCCTTTTTTTTTTGATACTTAAAAATGATCTCTTTCCTTATATCTAGGTTATTTCTTAATTATATAATACTCTAATGTGTTCAATTTTGTGCTATAGGACAAAGTAAGTATTAATGTAAAATATTCTCAAAAGTAGCACACTATCGAACCGTATATATTTCACAGATAACATGTTTCTAGACTGTAGGAACTCATTGTAACTTGCATGATGGTTCTATAGAATAGTTTATTTTTCTATATGCAGAGAATTCTATGTTGACGATATATAAACAATACACAAGAGTCCTATTAAAAATTCTTTTGCACCAATGATCAGCACAGTATTCTTGATGTACTGATGTTAGTAACTTCTTGATAAATGGAAAATAAATTTTTCGTCTTGAGATTCTTTGTGAAATGAACATGAGGTTCTTGTAGACTTTTATGCAAAAAGCAAATCTGGATATTGAGAAAAAAAATTTGAAAAAATATATCAGATCACCTTGTTGCAATCTTATACTCGTACTCTTGTTCAGAGATCACGAGGCTAAAAAATTGATTTTCGTTTATGTATTAAGGACACTATGCTGATTATGGATACATAAAAATTTTTGATAGTACCTTTGAGTATTGTTAATAGCTGCTGTTCCAAAAGATATTATATGTAAAATATGCAGAGTTCGATAGTGTAAAATTTTTGAGAAAATTTTATGTCGCTACTCACTGGTTCTGCAACACAGAACTGAAGACATTGAAATAGTATTTGATCAAGAAGACACATGTGAACACTGTAAATAAAAAAAAATTTTTTTATGTTTTCGCTGAACTTTTCCTTTTACGGTGTTATAAATAAAGTCAGATTCAAAGTTTACCAAGAATGAATAATGCATCATACACTGTCAAATATAGTATTCAGACAACAAATTTAACTTTCAATTTTATTAGTACTTATCATCAGTCATTATGCTCTCGTATAATAATTATATGATACACCGATGGTGTAATGCACCTTTGATTTTCAAAACTGTCCCGTACCAACCACTTGCTCATCCCAAATATATGCTTTCAATAAAAATTTACCAATCATTCAATGTTTTCTATTATATTTCTTAAAGATTATACTAATATATGAACCCTCAGTACATGAAAATTTAATTTAAGGTAGGTCATCGAATTCGCCAAAATTTCTTTGTTTCAATTATTAATTCATCATTCATCAAAGATCATACATAATCAAAAAAGATCATAAAATTCTTCAAATTTTTTCAGATAATAAATTTATATATTCTAATTTGTTAAGATAATAATTAAATATTTATTTAGATTGATTTACAAACAAAATTAATCGACGCTCTTCGTATATTTCAATCTATACGTATATCAGCATTACCAGTTGTTGATAGTGACAAAAGATTACGTGATATCTATTCAAAATTTGATATAATGGTAAAAAGAATTTTTTTTTTTTTGTTATTAAACAAAATGTACTAATTTGTTAATTGTTGTTTTTTTTCTCATATTAGCATTTAGCAGCAACACGTACATATGCTAATCTTGATGTACCATTATGTGATATACTCGATTCGATTCATGATCATAATACTTATCAATTAATAACATGTAAAACGACAGATCATTTATTTAAATTAATGGATAAATTCGTTACTCGGGAGGTAAATTGATATTGTTATTATTTCTCGTCGGGAGACCATAAAAAGGAAAATAAGGAAAAAAAAACAATTCCGCCTACTTTCTTCTTCTATTTTTTTTTTGTATTAATTGAAATGACGCATTCAATTGCAATAGATCTTTTCTTATTATCTATATATCTATGTAGGTACATCGTATGATTATAGTTGATGACAATCAACATATTATTGGTATTCTTTCCATATCCGATCTCATGAGATTTCTTGTATCAACATTTGATAGTAAGCTATGTTTATTTAATATTCAATTGATATTTTTTTATAAAACTTATATTGTTTTGTTTTTTTTTTTTTTTTCTTTTATAGAAATGAGTCGTACTAGTTCGAATACATCAACTAGTACTTCGAATGGACCTGTTTTTGAATGTGAATCAATGGATACTTGACATTTTTTTTTATAATTCTTAATCAAAATATTAGGTTCCCTGTTCATATTCTTCATAACAGCAACTGTTTATCAGATGTTTATTATACTTCACTGTTGGTTAAACCTTGTTAAACACTTTTTTCTTTTGGTTCTATATTATTTTTGGGTTGTTGGCTCTCGGTTTTTTTTTTCTTGAAACTTATAACAAACAGATAAAAATGATAACTGATTTTTTTTTCTTTTCGTTTCTTTTTTTTTGTTTTCTTTTTTTTTTTTTTTTGGTGATTTTTTTTCCTTGCCTTTAAATATCTTTCTTCACTTGTTTTCTCATTAAATAACAAGACTAAACATAGCTGGCGGCAAACGATGACATGTTGTTCATGCAGACAAGTTCTACTTGTCCGTTTCTCTCATGAGAATCATTCATTCTTATATTCAGTCTTGTCACCATTTTTTTCCCCTTATAATTCTTTTTCCTCTCTGTCGATTCAGCGTCTATTCTTTTCTTTCGAAATTCTTTTCTTTACGTCTGCACGCGTTTCCAAACTGGCAAAAAAAAAAAAAGAAAGACGGAAGGAAAAAGAAGAAAAATAAAGAGAAGCTTGGTAAGGATATATCTTTCTCTTGCCGATCGTAGTTGTTGATGTAGATCGTAGTCGGTCGGTGGTTAAAACGACTGTGTGACAGTCGGAGTCAATTTTCTCTCCTTCTTTTTTTTTTTTTTTCTTTGCTTCTTTTTCTTCTTTTACTTCTTCTTCTGATGTCAATCTCAAACAAACAATCATCATCATAATCAGGAAAATCGACTAGAACGAGATAGATTAGACCAAAACAAGTTGTTGTTGTTGTTTGTTGTTTTCTTTTTCGGTTTTTTTTTTTTTTTTTTGGTTTTTCTTTTTCTTTTTTGTTCTTCGATCGTTCTATTATAGAAAAGAGTGAGAGTAAGAGCACGACGTCGCTCCATCAGTCGTCGCATGCTGGTGGTGTTATAGAAAAAACAATAATAACAACAATGGGCGACTCAATGATAACTCCATCAATTGAATATGACTATTTGATCAAATTTCTTGCATTAGGAGATTCTGGTGTTGGTATGAATGAAGATTTTCTTTTTTTTTTTTTTGTTTTTATTTTAATCAAAAAAAAAACAAAACCATAGAAATGATTCTTTCTATATCAATTTAGGTAAAACAACATTTCTTTATCAATATACCGATGGACAATTTAATCCAAAATTTATTTCAACAGTTGGAATTGATTTTCGTGAAAAACGTGTTGTTTATCGACCAAAAACTCCACCAAATGCTAAACCATATCGAATTCATTTACAATTATGGGATACGGTAAATAATTATTATTTTCTTATTTATTATTTCTCGTGTTTTTTATTTTTTAATAGGCAGGACAAGAACGGTAATCAAAAAACAAAAAAAAGAAATCTTTTGCTCTATATTCTTTTATCTTTCTAGTTTTCGAAGTTTAACAACAGCATTTTTTCGTGATGCAATGGGTTTTATTTTAATGTTTGATTTAACATCTGAACAATCATTTCTTAATGTACGTAATTGGCTTACTCAATTACAATGTCATGCCTATTGTGAAGATCCTGATGTGATACTTGTTGGTAATAAAGCTGATCGTGAAGATGCACGTGTTATATCACAAACACGTGCTAAAGAATTAGCCGATAAATATTCTTTAAATTATATTGAAACAAGTGCATTTACAGCACAAAATGTTAAAGAAAGTATTGAAATGTTATTAGAAAAAGTTATGTTAAGAATGGAAAAAACTATTGGTAAGCTATCATGATTGACATATTTTTTTATATTCATATGTCAGATAAAAAGGATTTTCTTTTTTTTTAACTAATGGATTTCTATATGAGATAAAAGAAAAAAAAACCGACAAGAGTATTTCATCTATTTTTTGATGAACTTAAAAAAAATCGAATAGATATTGAAATCGATTGGAACTTTTACGTAATCAATACAGAGATTCTATCTATGATTTAAATAGACGATCGAACTAATAGAAAATATAATTCATTCTATTGTTTATATTCGTTCTATGTATTGATTGTCATTAGTACAATAAATTGATTTATAGACTATAGAGAATTTCAAAATAGTTCTTAACTATTATGATGTAATGATTCGATTACATTGTTTTATCAATACTTATTTATATGACTAATTTGTTTTTTTTTTTGTATATAGATAAATCAATATTTCCTGTACGACAACCACCACCGGCACCAACAGCTCCAGAAGAAGCACCATGTGCCTGTTAAATTCGTTATTATAGTTAAATGTTGTTGTTTTCATTACCTTTGTTTCGTCTTAGTCTGCCTTTGACAGTGAAAATATTTGAATACTGTGAAGTATTACGAGTCTCATGACATTTTCTTTTTTCTCTGATAATACTATTCGTATTTCTGTACTCTCACTATTTCTGTACAGCTTTACAAATATATATTAATCTATAATATGAATCTTAATTTTGTGTGTATGTGTGTGTATATGTCTATTTGTTATTGTCAAAATATTATATCTTAAAATTTTGTTTTGTCTTCTGTAAGTGTAATATGAATATGATTTGACACATAATGCACTTGCTAAAAATGACAGATAGCTTATTTTTATTTATTTTTTGTTTTGTTGTCTTCAAAATAGTCAATCTTACAATATACAATATCAACAATTAATATGTTAATCAAATAAATATGAATGATAAATAACAAATATTTGAAATAATAATATAGCGATTAATTTATTCTTATTAGAATTTTTCTTTTTTTTTGGATTCATAAGGCGAAAATATAAAATAGTTTGAATAAAACAATATAGATCATAGATGGAAGCAGTACACTCTATCTTGTTCTTCGATTGATTATAAATAATTGTCAAACTTAAACTAATTTATCTAGTTTAAGAATGAATGAAGACAATTACCTTTCCTCTTCAAAGTGTATATCTCTTAATACTACAAAGATGCAATACATAGGACACGTACCTATTTCAGATCAACCGATTCGATCCGGTCTGAGAATTGTTGAAGTCTTACTGATAGACAATAGATTATTTCATGATGAAGAACAATTCATTATGAGATAACTTGAAACATTTGAGTTTGACAATGATATACAGAATGAATGAGAATATTATTTTGTACAAATCTTAATGATATAGATATTATAAATAAAATTATTTGCAAGAGTAAAAATATTTTCTATTGAATTAACTATTATCTAAAATGAAAAATTGATTTAAAAACATTATAATCATTTTCATACTCCTTTTCAATTCACAATCGATCTAATATTTTTTCACTTCAATGAATCGAAAGCAAAACACATGTAAAAACAAATATTAAACATCATATATTTAACTTATGATTTGAATTCATCAGTAATATGCGATTGACATGAGCCCTTCATGCATCACTACACTACATTCCATTATTGAAAAATAACACACAACAAAAAAAAAAGAAATACAAAAACGACATTGTATTGATTTATTTTTGACATAAATACTAATGCTTTTTGACATTTCGAATACATAATTAAGAATGATATATGAGTGTCCTCGATAATTAAATTTTTTCCTATCAACTTATTTTCAACAGATATACTTGGTTTAAATAGACTTTCTTCATACATTGTGTATCTATTCCATATGAATCTTATACATTATCTTAGCTAACGAGAAGAGATTCTAATCTTTGACGTGCCATTTTGAATTGGACACATATCAATTTGCAAATTACACTGGTATTAGAGAAAGATTAGATGAGTTTATTCCCACATCTTACGCTGCTTGAGTTATGGTCATTTATTGGATTTTTACCCTTTGCTAAGGGAAATATAAACATGTCTAGTTAATTTTTTCCTTTCTGAGATATTGAACATTTAACAAGTGTCAAGAATCGAAACAAAAACTGACAATTATCTATATACAAAGTTTCAGATTACAATTCAATATTTGAAGGAACTTTTCTAGTTGCATTGTAGTCTACAAATAGTTATGATTTCGATTCAAAATGGTATGACACATTGGAGAACAGTGTATTATAAGACAAAATAGATACATGTGGACAAATAAAAATATTTTGAATATGAAAGATATTGAGCATTTCAAATTAATTAATGCATTGAAATTCACTTTGTATAATTAAGGATGATAAAGCTCTTCTAGTTCGAGTATAAGTCGACATAATAATTCTTCTATATACAGACATTAAAATCTTTTTGATTAAACTAATTAGACAAATGCATGGATGAACTTTGATGCAAATTAGATAGAAAAATGCCTATTGTATGACTTTTTCTTTTTTACAATTGAACGACTAATTTAAATGCGAATGATTCTCTTTTCTTTTTTGTATGAGACTTGTAAGAACCTTTGCATGTCAAATTATCACTATTTGAATGAAAATAAAATTTCTCTAAAGAATCAAAAGAATTCAATGACATAACAAATTTGATATTCATCAAATATAGACAAAAAAAAAATATGTTTTTATTAAAAACATATTATAATTAGTAGATCAAACTAAATCATTATTATTTGTTACATGAATAAAGATCTATTTTTGTATTCGTATTGATGAAATAGGAGTAAAATCAACATAAATAAAAGAATGAATTAAATGTTTCTAGCTATTTATAACACTTATCATATAGCTGAGTTACGATGGTTTTTTGACTTGAAAATGTTTGTATGACCTCATTATGTTTTATAAATTATGACATGTCAATTAAGTGACTTACATCTATATTTAGATACTATTGATTCAATCGAAACTGTCAAAATTCACATCCTTTGCAGGAAATATCACAATTTGTGTCTAGTTCAGTAGTCATTATCTATAATCTAAATATAATGATATTCGAATGGCAACTTAATGAATACATTGGATTTAAGACAAACTTAAGAAATAATATAAAAAAACAAGGATAGTATATAAGTTGTTCAATAACTCTTATTTAAATATACGTTTGACGTGTCATGGCGCCATCTCTACAGATTCCATGAAAGATATTATCTTCTTCTATAGACCTTATTCATGTTTTTCAACATGTTCTAGTTAAGTATTGATAGGCATAAATGAAATATCCAAAAGAAAGTGAATGAAATTTGTTATGAATGAAAAGAATGAATTAATTAAAAATTTCAATGGTTGTTTTATCATCGAATTCTATGACAAACCTTCAAACCAATGACTCAGCTATTTTTTTTTATAAGCTAGGATATGAGCTTTTGAGATTAAAATGTGGAATTCACAGGTGTTCTTTAGTCTCATTATACTTCTATACAATTTATAAAATGAAAAATTTCTAACAGATTATAAGTGTTTTTTTAAGGATAATCGATCGCCAGGTAAACGATTTGTCTTATTTATTTCTATATTTCGAATAGAAATTAAGCATCGCCTTAACTAGCAAATAAGCTTCATACATATACTGTTTTATGTGCAGCATATCTCAACACATTATTATATATATATATTGATAAACTCACAAATGCTAATATTAATTATTTACTAAAGTTATTAGTTGACCATTGAGGCTTTTTATATTGGGCAAACGACAACTGTGGCAAATCAATGCATCATTATCTATGATTCTTAATGTCTTAAATATTAATTTTCATGAATGCAAAAATAAAAAACAACTGCAGAATTTAGAACACTTACAAACGTATTTCAATAATTCCAACTTGAAGGAAGGCTTTGGAATGTTTTAGAACAGTCTAAATGTTCTTGTTATTGCCATCCAAAGCCTGTTTTCGTTGCTAAGGAACTCTCCTATTTGGAGAAGATGCTACGAAAACCTCAAATTCCTACACATACCATTTGTTTTTCAAAAGACACCTTTACCTATTGCAAAAACGATTTCCTCAGATAGCTCACTTTTCTAATACAACAAGAAGGTCAGCTAAAGCAATAAATTTTATTGTCTTCTTTCATCTATGTTTTATTTACATGATAAATTAATCTACATACAAATATCAAAAGGAATGAGTAATGTTCTAGATAAATAGAGGCATCATGAATATCATTAAAAAAGTATCACAATTTCGTATAGGCACACTTAATGTTCATTTCTTTACTGACTCACAAAAACAATCTAATGTTCATCGTCTTGCTCAAATCCTAAAACCAATGTCATTCGATCTACTTGGTCTTCAAGAAGTTCTCCATACTGATGAACCATCAAATACTGTCTCTGAAAAGTATTATAAATTTCAACTACTCTCCAATTTACTTCAATTACCGCACATTGCATTTTGTAATACTTCATATAAATTTGGTAATGCTATTCTTTCAAGATATCCATTAAAGAATAATGTCAATTATTATACAGAACCAATTGAAAATCATAATTTACGTGGAATGTTGGCAGTACAAGTTAATCATGAGTTCTTCAATGATAATGATGCTACATTTTATGTTACTCATTTAGATCAACTTAGTGAACAAGTACGTTTAGTACAGATGGAACAATTTGAAAAATATATACAAAATGCAGGTCTTCAATTGATTGTAGGTGATTTTAATTCATTGACATTTGACGATTATTCCAATGATTATTTTAATACTAACATTCATGATGTACGTCAAAAAAATACATGGGAACGTCCATTTAATTTAGTAACAAACAAAATGAAAACAAATGGATATCATGACTGTTGGCGAGAAATGAATAAAGAAGCTATAAATGATCAAGCTGGTACGTGTATATACAAGACACGAATTGATTATATTTGGAGACGAGGAGAACTGAAGAATGGATGGGAAATGAATGAATGTAGAATTTTTTCAAGTGAAGATGCAACTGATCACAATGGTGTTTTAGTTACTTTTTTCAAAAACTAGCTAATCATATGTGTAATATGTCTTCGAATATTGACATTAACTTCTTTGGATTAACTAACGTTTCAATACTGCACAAAAGCCAGAAGTTCTTTTTTTTTTGAAAGATTAAATTAAAAGCTGTTTCGATTCATGATATTTTTATAGGTGATGTTTTTCATGTGATATCATAAGATTACATATAGGAATTATATAAAATTCTAAATTAATTATTTTTATCTGCTTTGACTACCAGTAAAAAGAAGTATTATCAATATCAACAGATAACATATTGTACTCTTTTTCGGAAGCAATGGTCAAAAGAAAGACAATAGTCGATAATGGCAATAGAATGTGAGCAGAGAGATACTCATCTTGCATTTCGTTATGATCTCATCCTTTTTTCTTTGTTGTATATTTGTTTGTTATCATATGAAAATCTTATTTAAAAGTTGAATTTTATGCTTTCTCTCTCGAAATAGAACACAAGCATTCAGATCGATTGTCAAATACAGAAGATTTTGATAGCTATACTAATGGTTCAATCTACAGCATGACATGTTTTTTTTTCCATATTTAGAGGATTTCAAAATTTCCTGTTCTACGTTAATAGCATCTTTGATGGAGCTAAAATTATAAAACATCAGGATGTGTGTGCGCGTGTAATCATATACATATAACTCACATTCATACTAATCGTGGCTCACTGTCCCATTCATTCTTTTGTAATGCTTATTCTATCTTTTACTGCTCCTCTTTAAAATGACATTTAAAATATTGACAGCTTGAGTTTTGTATTAAGTTAATATTGTTAAAAAGCAACAAAAAGAATCAATAGAAATGATTAATGCTGTGAATAGCATATTATATGTATTCATATTCTATCTTTCTAACCTACTCACAGTAATACCTGGGAGGTTCCTAGATTAACGATTTGATTTGATGATAGCTTTGACGTTTATTTGCCTGACACAGATCAGTAAAATGAGCGTCAATACAAATATTCCATCTACATTGACAAAGTGCGGATATAGGCGAAGAAAACCCTCACTCAACCACATCTACATCTATAAAGTCATACATGGCATATGCTAAATTTCTCTAAAATGTGATACGTCTGCTCTTCACAGAAAACACTTCATAAACATGTTTCGATGATTGACGAAAAACATTTTAAAATCTTTTTACATAAGATGCGTTAAAACAAGTCAATGTTAACACACAGGTTTTAATATGTCACCTCCTCCCACATGGCATGCAAGAAAATGGCTCTATCTAGTGGCTCAAGAAATCAAAAAAATTTCGTTTAAATGTTTAATTTCATTACATAATTCTCATACTTTTGAGAAACTCAAATCATCACATAACTTTACTAATTTTTCACTATTTTCACCATATGATTTTATTTGTTCTAGAAAATCAAAATAATTGCATCAGTTTCATTACTTTTACATTTGAAATACTCAATATCAATCGTATTGCAAATGATTAAAAAGTTGTATAACTTTTTATAAGAAAAAAAATTTTAATGAATGATTTTGGTGTGATAAAACATTACGTGTCACGAGTTTTTTTTTAGAAAATTAATGATGAAAATGATTAATTCGAATTTCATCTACAAATTTGTCCTTGTACATGCCACCTGCTTCACAAACGGAACCTGTAATGACTGAGAATATGTCGTGTCCTGCTTTTCTTATGTTTGAGAAGTCTCTTGAAGGTCAACCAACACAGACTTATATCGAAGTCTGAGTACAACAAGCCATTTAGATGGGTTGTTAAATCAGATTAAATAAAAGTTGGTTCTAATTTTCATTTTTTTCATCACGAAACTTTCGTGCATTTTTAATTATTTCCCCTACATGACTTTGATGCAAAATTAATCATTTTCATGAATTAAAATTCTAATTCTCTCATCAATGAATTTTCACAAACATCAAAAATATGTCTCTTTCATTATTGAAAATGCTATTTTTTCCATGTCACTTCGTCATTTTTCATCACAAAAAAAGTTCAGTAAAATTTCTGCTTTGCGAAACAAAAGCACTACAACACCCTTATGGCGCTTTTTATTTCTGTGGGGTGGAGTAAAAAAGAATTTAAACATGAATTATTTCTTAATTTTTTTCGTTTTTGACACTGCTTGTTGCTTTCTGTTCAGTAAACATTCTTTGTTTCATCAGTTGATTTTGTGATCATGACACGTACAGTCTCTTTTTTCGACTTCCTACCTGTCGAAATTATACACATGATTTTTAGCTATTTCCTAGCTCATGATGTTCTTTTATCATTTTCCAATACTAGTGACCATATGGATAGTGTTTTATTCTCATATACATCATATAAAATCAATTTCAAATCCATTTCTAAATCTTACTTTGACCTTGTTTTTCGTCGAATTCGACCTTCACAAGTTATCACACTGATTCTTTCCGATGCTGATGATACACCAGGTCAATCTGCATTGTTTCTATCACATTTTCGGATTGAACAATTCACTCAACTTCAATCATTAATGTTAATCAACATTGAACTCGACTCATTGGATTTGATCTTTTCAAATTTACATCATCTTCGACGACTAAATACATTCACATATGATTCGAAGACGATAAAAGCACACTACTGTGATAAGAATCTTAATTATTCAGTTTGTATCAATCGATTGCATAGTTCTTTATCGAGAGGTGTTATTTCAATAATGCCTCGAATGAAACGACTAAGTCTATCCAATTTCAAAATTTCGCCAACAATGTTACTTCCATGTCTACGTCATTTGAAAATGGAAAAAGTGACGATCGATGAATTTCGAATGATTCTTTCACAAACACCATATCTATTCTCGCTAAATATATCTCTTCAAGATAATACGTCACATAGTGAAAACTTCTTACTGTTACCTTACTCGGAATTAAAACATCTCACTTTAAAAATTCTCAGTAAGTACAATTGTAATAATGAAAAGAGAAGTTGAAATATTGTGTGAACATTTGATCTTTTATTTGTATTGATAATTGACAGACTCACAAGTTTCAATGGATAAACTCGAACAACTGTTGCTGAATCTAGTTCATCTAACACATCTTGAATTATATGCCACTGGTTATAATGATTTGGCTAATGGAAATCGTTGGTTAATTCTGGCACATAGCCTCATTATGTTGAACTTCAAATTTGAAATTTTCGAGACATTAACCGATGAAATTTTAGAATCTTTCCGTACTTCGTTCTGGCTTGTCGAAAAACGTTGGTATGTGGCTTACGATCAAGGTTGTTTGTTCACAGTACCTTATTTTGCTTCTGTAGAGGTCTATGCTAATCAACTTCAAGAACAAATTCCTTGGACAACATCCGATCCAAAACTGTTCTATAAGCAAGTGACGAAAATTAACCTCACGGGTCTGTGGTTTTTTAATGTCTTCCATCATTCACGCACATTCGTTTTCGAAGAGCAACATAATCTTAACATTATTCGAAGAATGTTCGAGACGACAATTGATATGTGTCAAATACAACAAATAACTTTGCTATTATTAATACAGATACAATTATTGAAACCATACTTTCTTAAAATGTTTCATCTCTATAAATTGTCTGTTGTGGAAAAGATTAAAGTGGATTCGATTGAACAAATCCGAAGTTATCGAATTAAACAAATTCGGACACTTGAAATTGGTCTTTCTACTCAACATACGAGTTACATTATCGAATTATTGTTGCGCGTTTTTCCGAATGTGGAACATTTACGTGTTTCATCCATCAATTCGAAAATGGATATGATTCGTTTGATTGATGGATTCAACTATTTATCGGATGCATCATTTACAATTGATTCAAACTTCGGTAATATCGAACCACGTTGGTATTTCGAACCAGAACTATTGATGTATGGCTCACGGCAATGGAGTGAAGATACTAATACGTGTCGCTTGAGTCATTTGGTAGGTCAAGAGTCGTCTATCACTGTACAGGTCTGGATGGGAACTCAAGTAAGTTTCTCTTGTAAAAACTAATAATTTCTGATATCATCTATTGTTGTACTGTGATTCAGCCACGACATTCGTTTGGAACTATTCAATGGTCACCACGACGAGGATATATTTGGTATCGATTGATGTACATTTTTTTCCAGCATCCTGAAGCCACACTCACTAACTATATACTGTTGACCAACATGATCCAGCCTGTTGTTAGACTGGTTGCTTTACTGATCTTATCACGAATTCCTCTCGTTTTCTCTTCATTGTTGTTCAGTGATATTTTTCTCTATTCAGTATCTTTGATTTTGACTGGATTTGTTGTTTATTATCTTCAATCACGTATGACAACCATTGTAACAGTCTTAATTGTCATAGACATACTAATAATGCTATGCCTCTGTTTCTATACATATTGGATTTCCTTCTGATAATCAATTTCTTATTAGATATTTTGGACAAGATGGTTACTTTTTTAAACATGATATATTTCTTACTACAAAATAAACGACATTGAAGAATATTTCCTTCGTTAACACCGACGTAAATTCTTCTTCAACAATCATGCAATATTGTTACGGTCATCGTCTGGGATGAATGTATCTCGATCATGAGGAACTCGTAAAAAAAAGAACTTTCAAAAGTCTATAGTAGAACAGAATTACCCATCTCTGGAGTGAAACTCGATATTTCGTCGATATCGATCATCTCTGTGGATGCCATCTATCAGAAAGATAATTTTGAAGATTGAGAGCAAAATAAAGACCACATTTAAGATTCACTTAAAAGTCTGCATCGAATTATATATATTTCATTGAAAAATCTTATCTACCACAAACTCATGCCAGAGCTTGACAAAGTATTTGAGTATGATTTTGGTGGTTCTCGCATTTGTACTCGAGAGTTAAGTACTTGAAGCTCTAGATAATTATACATTATTTTAAAATGATACTTGATAAAATTATAGTTTATGTTTTCCAAGGATGAATTGAACAGCTGATTTCTTCTTTTTTTTTTCTAAACAGATATGTACTCACATAAGTACACCGATGCCACGGCGTGGCATAACAACCTACTTACTCCTTTTGTTTCTCTTTTTCATTAGTAATTTAGGGTGTTAGATGTAACTATTGGTGAAGTAAAAATCCACACCCTTCTTTTGATGATAAACCAAAAGCTCTGGTACAGTTTGACGATTTTCTATCGGAAAAAAAATTAGTGAAAGTAATAAACTCTTCATTCAGAACAATCTTAAATACTTCTCTGTATGAATTTTGTTTGAAAAACTTGTCAGTGCTGGTTTTATCAGCTCCTATTGACAAGATGCTTCTTGCTTGAAATTTTTTAATAAAAGAATAATCATAAGAACAATTTGATTCATGGCCGTTTCAATCTCAAAAGTGATACATTAAATTTATTCTAATGAGATCTCAGAAAATTCACTTTTACATATTTGTACTCGAGAAAGTCCGCACTTGTCTAATTGTGTGTTACTCAATAATCTTTCTCTGTAATCTAAATATTATGATATTCGAATGGCAAGAAACAATAATATTATACAAAGTTCATTGAACCTTTCTAATGATCATCGAACCATTTGTCATATTTATTTTAGCAACTATTGATGTTATTACATCAAAGATATTCGAAGATTATTATGTCGATTATTTAAATAGCCTCTAAAGAATATTTATCTATAGAATACATCTTAATGAATACATTTAATTTCAAGACAAATTTAAGAAATAATATGAAAAATAAGGAAGAGTTTTCAAATAAAATTAAGTAAGAAATTTTTTCTTCTCTTATTTAGTAAGTTGTTCAATAACTTTTATTCGAATATATGAGTCGTGTAATGGCGCCATCTCTACGAATTGTATAAAAATAATATTATCTTCTTCCAGACTTATTTATGTTTTCAACGTGTTCTAGTTTAGCATTGATAGGCATAAATTGAATATTCAAAAGAAAAAGAATGAAATTCGTTATAAATATAAAGAATAAATTAAGGAAAAATGTCAGTGGTTACTTTCGTATCGAATGCGATAACAAACCATGAAATATATGACTCAAACATTTTATTTATCTACGATATGAGAAAGCTTGTCCGTGCAGCTATTTTACAGTGAAAATGTGAAATTCATGTATATTCTTTAGTTTATTATTATACTAATACAAAATTTATCAAGTGAAAAACCACTAGCCGACTCTAATTGTTTTTCTAAAGATAATTGATCGTCAGGTAAACGATCTGTCTTATTTGATTCGACATTTCGAATAGAACTTTTGCTATTTTTCTTACTTTAACACAACTATTATTCTCATAATAGAACCCAATACACTTTTATATAGATCAATAAGCTCACAAACACTGATTTTGATCATTTTCTGCAGTCATAACTAAAATTACACTCTTCAGAACATTTACAACAGTATCCTAGCTGTTCAAATATTGAATGACGGTAAAAAGCTCGAACAAAAAAGTCCAGAAAAACGTTTGAACTTCGAAATGTTGAATAAAATAAGATCTCGAATAATTAAAATTTAGCAAGATGTCCTCTTATTGTTTTATCATTTATCTAGTTTCATCAAAATATTCCTATTAATCAAGCATTTTTCTTTGTTTTTGTCTTGAGAGAGACTATGCAGATTAATATTTACCCTGGAGAGTTTTGTTTGTTTCATATTGTTCTTTTCGTTATTATTTTTTTATTTCAGCTTTTCATATAATACCAAAATTACGAGAGCACCATTCAAAATATTCTCGAACAACTTAACCCTTATTGTTAATACCATAAACATCGACTTTTAACTTATATTTACTATGTGTTTTTCGAAAAGACTAATGCGAGACTACTCTTTTTTTACTGTAACAGAAAGGTCATGATAAAATAATAAATTTTATTGTCTTCTTTCATATATTCTTCATTTACATGATCAATCAATCGATTATCTAAATATATATGTTACAGAGAATGACTGATATTCTAGATGAATAACAGCACTATGTATACTACTAATAAAATATCACAATTTCGTATAGGTACACTTAATGTTCATTTCTTTACTGATTCACAAGGACAATCTAATGTTTATCGTCTTGCTCAAATCATAAAACCAATGTCATTTGATCTACTTGCCATTCAAGAAGCACTTAATACTGATCAACCGTCAGGTGTTGTCTCTGACAGATATTATCATTTTCAATTACTTTCCGATTTACTTCAGTTACCTTACACTGCATTTTGTCATACTTCACAAGGATTTGGTAATGCTATTCTTTCACGATTTCCACTAAACAATAGCTTCAATTATAATACAGAAAAAGTTGAAAATCACTATATACGTGGAATGCTAGCAGTACAAGTTAATCATGAGTTCTTCAATGATAATGATGCTACATTTTATGTTACTCATTTAGATCAACTTAGCGAACAAGTACGTTTACTACAGATGAAACAATTAGAAGAACATGTACAAGTCTCAGGTCTACAACTGCTTGTAGGTGATTTTAATTCATTGACATTTGACGATTATTCTAATGATTATTTTAATGTTAACATTCATGATGTACGACAACAAAATTCATGGGAAGATCCATTCAATCTAGTAACAGATCTAATGAAAACAAATGGATATCATGATTGTTGGCGAGAAATGAATAAAGAAGCTATAAATGATCAAGCTAGTACATGTATATACAAGACACGAATTGATTATATTTGGAGACGAGGAGAACTGAAGAATGGATGGGAAATGAATGAATGTAGAATTTTTTCAAGTGAAAATGCAACTGATCACAATGGTGTCTTGGTTAATTTTACAAAAACTAGCTAATCATATGCAATATGTTTTCGAATACTGGTATAAACTCGTTTGGATTAATTAGCAATCAAATACTGCACGAAATTTTGAAGCTTTTTTAGTATACATTGTTCAACATGAAATCAAAAAAGAGATAATAAATAGCAAAGCTTTGATAACTATAATCACTATCTAGAAGATTCAATTAAAAACTGTTTGAATTTATGACATATTTTTATAACGGAGTTATTGATGTTTTGACTATTATTATAGACGTCGACATACAAGGCAGGTGAATGTTTATTTTTCGAATATCAATAATTGATCAATCCAGTGAATTCTAGATAGACATTTTGAGAATAATATTATGAAGGCATTTTGCGATCTACACGAAGCTAATATCTCTAGTTTGTTACGTTCAAAAGTATACGGAACTTTTCTAGAAACCTCCGATTTTAGTAAATCAATCTTTTGATTATTCAAAAATAGCTCTAGAGAAAGGTAACTAGACATATTAATTCGAGTAGTAATTTTTGTTTGCGGTGTAAAAGTAATTGGCAACCACTTTAACAGGTTTGCTTTTAAACTGAAAGTAAACATCATCACTCGACTAAACATGTTCAGTTGTCAGAATCGAGAATCTCTAGAAAATCCCTATATACTTTGAAAGGAACAAGCTAGAAATGGCCGCTCTGTATAGATTACGAAAGAGAACAGTTTTCACTATCGAACGATGAAAACTAAAGGTCTCTAGCTTATTTCTATGGAAAGTTATTCAGAAAAACCACCACCTATCTTATATTTTGGTGTCGGTATTAGTAAATTGAAAAAAATTTCTCTTTGATCAATGAGTTTTCTTGATTATTTATAACATGCGAATATTCTTTATCAAAAATGATAGAAAAGTATTATCAATGTCAACAGATAACATATTGTTCTCATTCTTTTACAAGACATGATCAAAGGATCGAGGATAATCGATAATGGTAATATAATGCGAGAAGAAAGACATTCACATTGCATTTCGTTATCATCGCATCATTTTTTCTTAGTTGAATATTTGCTTGTTACCATGTGAAATCCTTATCTAAAAGTTGAACTTTGTCCTTTTTGTGCGAAATAGAACACAATCATTAGATCGATTGTGAAATATCAAAGACATTCGTAGCTATATTAATGGTTCAATCTACAGCATGAAATCTTATTTCCATGTTCTATTTACCCCTTGTGATAAAAAGAATTTTGATTTTCAGTGTAAATTTCTGTCTTTTTGCACTTCAGCTATGATTATACAAATGAAAAAGTTAGTAGCATTTTTGATGGAGCTACAATTATAAAATATTGAAAATAATATATGTAACTATATAGAAACAAGTGTTCAGATTGAAAGATTTTGTAAGTAAAATGTTTCTTTCTTGTATAACATCCAAAACAAATTCTATACATGCTATCAAAAGTAACTCTGTAAATAACTACGAAAGAGCCATCCAATCTGATTCAAAGAAATTTTCTTTATGAATTAGATAGGGCTCACCAGAAAGCATCGGCAAGCTTAAATTTTCGTCACGTCGTCTCAGCTGAATTTTAATGTTTTCCTCAAAAAAAGATTTATACAACTTGCAATTGATAACAATCAGAATGTTTTACTATACAAGAGCTAATGAATAATAATCTCCATGAAGGTAAAATACTCAAACTCATCCTCTTAAACTTGCTATGTAAATCCTTTTAGTCAAACGAAATACACTTATAAATAGTGTGAATTCGGACTGAGCTCTAATAATTTTTCGAGTTTTAACATTCAATCATTGTTCAGCTACATTCATATTGCAAAGTTATTTCGGTCAAAAGTTATCAGAATAACGGAGACAATGAGAGTAAATCAGCTAAATTTGAAATAAAAAATATGAAGTTCAACTGCCTATTAAATAATCGTCAATATCAATTCAAAATAAGCATTGATTACAATTGCAAAGTCGAATTTATTGAAGAAAATCACCAAATATTAATCAAATGTAATACAAAACGTCTATATAATTGGTTTTGTCAAACTATACATCGTTTTCAAGAGAATGTTACAGCAATAACATGTGCACTTGATAAACTATCTTTGCTCGTATCGATATTAAGATAAAGTATACCAATAATAGATTTTCTCTTTTTTAGAAGTCTAAAGTAGTGCTGTGTAATAGAATACGAACATTGATGGATTGAGAAGTAATCCAGTAGTTTTGCTGTCATGATTTATAAAATCTGAAATTTTCATTACAAAAAAAACATGGAGGCTCACCAATGACATTGTATGCCTACTCATATATCACATAAACTGACCATTCCTGACGATATGTTGAAAATAAGTAATGAAAAAATACACAAGATAGTTTTAACGTTACAGCAACAATCACGTTATAAATTGAGTCATTGTCGATTAGGAGGTGATGGTGGCAAGAGAACATCGATTTCATTAAAATATGATTATGATTGCGTAATATATAGGTTAATGAAGTTGATCCTCCATTCGAAAAACTTCTTAATGAATGGAATGATATCTTAAAATTGCATTTGAGCCGTCTTGTTGGCGAAACAAAAATTATACAATACAGTGTTCAGTTTAAAATTGGAGAGCTTGACTTCGATATCTTAGCCTGCACTAAATTATGCTGGTTTAATCAATGATATTATGTTGCAAACTAGACATATTTGGAATATCATTGCAAAGAAACAATCTGCTTCTAATAGAGGAAATGTAACTCATCTTTATAGTTGAGAACTTTCCGAGTTAACATAAGATATCATCCAAAAAACAATCTGAATTTATTCGTACTGAAAATTCGATTCGTGTGCTATGAACCTGCCATTTAATCTAACGTTCTATTGGATGCTTTATTATTGAGGATAACCTCTTTCTAATTCCAGCTTTTGTTTAGAATGAATCGCCAAAGCATTCATCACCTTTCCGAGTGGATAGATCTTGAACAGTGCGCTACGAATCACTCTGCATCCAATATTCGATAAAGCATTTCTGTGAAAGATCAGTGTCAGCATCACAGCTGAATAGAGATTACCCTGCTGTCGAACACCTCTAGTCTAAACATCGGGTAGGCCAAAAGTAAGAAAAAATAATGGGTATCCGATAATAACTGATGAAAAACTGTTAATGATATTTTTCATACTTTTTATTGATGTAGAGAGCTGAAA